ACACACACACACACACACACACACACACACAAACCCCACATACACATTACAAAATCTAAACAACATACTTTTTTTTTTTTTTCGAGACAGGGTTTCTCTGTGTAGTCCTGGCTGTCCTGGAACTCACTTTGTAGAAACAACATACTTCTAACAACCTAGAGATCAAAAAATGATAGTAAATAAATGAGAAAATATTCTTAATTTTAATGAAAATTAAAAACACAAGCCTCAGCAGTAAAGAAGCTCGCTCAGTGCCGAGCCCGGCAAGCTGCGTCACACAACATGGTGGAAGGAGAGCATTGACTTGTGCATTTTGTCCTCCAAGCTCCACACATGTGCAGCGACAGACACACACACACACACACACACATACAAAAATAACCATGACTAAGAAATTTATTTAAATAGAAAAGAAAAATCCAGTTAACAACACTGACCGAAAGCCTTGGGCGGGTTTGTATCAGCTCATGAGAAGTTCTGTGAGTGTCTTCCCAAATTCATGTTTTGCAACCTCACGTTGACACCTTTAAACCCTCTAGGGTAGGAGCGATTATAGCAAAGGAACATGTAAGTGAAGCCAAGAGCAGTCGTGTACACTTGTAGCTCCAGCACTCCAGAGGCTGGAGATAGGAAGGTCAGGAGTTCGAAGCTAGCCTCTGCTATACAGTGAATTTGAGGTCAGCCTGGGCTCCAGGAGAGCCTGTCTCAAAAACAATAAACCAGTAAATGGTGATTTGTTTTTTAATTCTGTCCTTAGAGAGCCAGAGCATGAACACTTACTAGCACAGACTGCAGGAAGAAAAAGTAAGTCTTCCAGGACAATGAAAGGAACAAAGGGGGAACAATGAGATGGCTCAGTGGATAAAGGGGCTTGCCACCAAGCCTGACAACCTGAGTTCAATTCCTGGGACCCCTGTGTTGAAAGGAGAGAAATTCATAGTAGGAGACATCTCTGTAAGTTGTCCTCTGAGGCCCATACCTTGAGCTCTTTAGTTTCTTGGGCTCTCAACTCAAGAAACTAAAAAGAAGGACAAATTAAACCCAAATTAAGCCTAGAGAGTGTTGCAGGAGTGTAATGCCAGATCCCTGGGAGGCTGAGGCAGGAGGCTTCCAAGCTCAAGCCTGGATAACATACCGAATTTCATGCTGGCCTGGGCTATGTAAAGACTGTCAGGAAGGGATAGGAATGAGAAAGGTAAGGGGGGATGAGGGAAGAAGAGGGGAACGGAAGCGGAGGAGGGAAGAGAGAGGAAAAGGGGGGATGAGAAGGGGATAAAGAAGGAAAGGAAAGAACAGAAAAGAAAAAGCTAGAAGCCAGGTGATGGCTTTAGTCCCAGCACTTGGGAGGCAGAGGGAGGTGGAGCTCTGTTCCAGGCCAGCCTTGTCTACAGAGTGATCTCTAGGACAGCCAGGGCTTACATAGAGAAACCCTGACTAGAAAAGGAGAGAGAGAGAGAGAGAGAGAGAGAGAGAGAGAGAGAGAGAAGGAGAGCGCAAGTCTGTTTTGGGTGTGTTCTCTGTCTGAGCAGCTCCAGGCTGACCCATCCAAGGGGCTTCTTAGGGACACCCCTTTTTATCTTTACTCTTTATCAGTGAGTGAGATTGCAGGGTCGTTTGGAAAGGGGGTGCTGGGGTAGACACGCTGACAAGGTAAAACTGCGGCTCACAAGGCTTGCTTGCACAAGAGATTAAGATGCGGCTTACAGTACAAGGGTCTGCTATGGCCCATGAAAACTCACAGGCAGACTGGCAGAGTGGGCTGTACTGGATCCTAGTTTTTAAACCTCAAGCCTAGTACATTGCTATCTTAACATGTTTTAGAATTGAGCTTGATTGTGAATGTGTGTGGGCACACAAGTTCAAAGGGCTGGGTGTGACAGTCAGACAACAGCTTATGGGAGTCAATTCTCTCCTGCCAGGTAGGTTCTGGGAATTGAACTCCGGTCCTCAGGTTTGGTGGCAAGCACCTTTATTTGCTGAGCCATCTTGCTATTGTAGCTATTTAACGGTGTTATTTAAAACATCTCAAGTTGCAGCCTTCACAGAAAAGGTATTAACTCTGCCGAAGTTCTTGCTTCTCAGCTGGCAGAGGTTTTACCCAGGCGTGAGAGGTAGGGGCTCTTGACGCTCCTGTTGAAGCCCACACCCTTTTGTGTTTCTTTGAGTCTGGGTCTCACGTATCTCAGGCTGGCTGGAACTTGCTATATATTGAGGATGACCTCGAACTCCTGATCCTCCAGCCTCTGCCTCTCAAGTGCCGGGATCACACTTAGTTGATTAGGTGCTGTGGGTGGAATCCAGGGCCTCGTGCATGCCAAGCAAGCATTCTACCAGTGTGAGCCATATCACAGTCCACCCCAGTGTGACCTTAACTTCCCTTGTCTTTCTGTGCTGTCTGGTTTCTCCAGGCCTTCTCCTTAGAATAGTATTTTTCTTTTCTAGGACAAAAAAAAAAAAAAATCCAAAGATGGGGGTGGTGGTACACACCTGTAATACTAACACTCAGGAGGCTGGGGCAGAAGAATCTGGAATTTGAAGCTAGCCTAGGCTACATAACAAGACTTTGGCTAAATAAACAAATAAGAAAAAACATATAATTAAACAAATAAACATATAAATAAACAAATAAGAAAAAAAACCTAAAAGTACAGTTTTTACTGAAAGTATTGCTCTTACACCATCAGGAAGCAGAAATTTGAGAGAGGAAAAAAAGATTGACAAGGTGAGCCATGTTAAGGCAGGCACCACCTGACCGACTTCTTGCCCTCATTTTGATTGACTACCTGCTCTGTGGCATCCAGCCAGTTACTCAGTTGTCGTCCATCGTCTGCCATGGTTCACAATGTCCCCTGTGATTCTTTTTTTCAGACCGGATCCAGTAGCTCCCACAGGCCTTAAACTTGCTAAGTATCTAAGGTTAGCTATCATGGAACCTCGGCTCCTCCTGCCTCCAGCTCCCCAGCGCTGGGATTACAGCGGTTCCCCACCACCCCAGGCTGAGGATTTCGGATCTCATTCCTCTGTCCCTGCACACCTGTTGCTCTCAGAAAGCTCTGCCCCGGGAAGCCCCCCAAAAGCTCTGAGACCTCCTCAAATAGATCTCTAGATAGAGCCTCCTCCAGGAAGCCTGCGCTGAGCCCTGGAAACGATGTCCTTATCTGGGGCTCACAGGTTCAACTGTTCGCCAAGGATCCAGGAGGAGCCTCGCCCACTGGCCCAATCACCCATCTGTCATTCCTTGCCACACATAAACATTCTGACCCAATAAACATGCTCAGAGAACAGATTCTGGGGCAGTGTCTTATTTGCAACACACACTCAAGCTGACAGCTTGTGCCTGGGGCTACCAGACGCCCTGGACTGTGCCCCCCCAGACCTTCCTGCTAGAGGCGGGTCTGGACTTACTGCCCCGGCCAAAGGGGAGGGAGGGTTGCAGGGTGGGGTGGGGAGGAAGGCGGGGCTTGCGCCCCAGAGTAGTTGTCCCGGGCCGGGGACGGAAGTTGCACCACTACAGAACGATTACTTTCAGTTTTGTTTCTCTTGCAGGTAGTCAACTACCGGCAGTAGCGGGATTTCGGGGCTCCCCGCGTCCTGCTGGGAGAGTCCAAGATCAGCTGTGGCTGGGTAAGGAGAGCCGGGGGAGGTGGGTGGGGGTAAGAGCCAGGACCCAGAAAGACGAGGCTGGGGGGAGGGGAGAGAGGAAAAGGGAGGGAAGTGAGAAAGCCCGGGAGAGGGAAAGGAAGGGAGGGGAGAGAGAGCAGAGGGGATCTAGAAAGCCTGAGAGGACAATCTTGGAACCAGGCCCTGTCCCTCAACCTCCCACCCTGTGTCCGGAATCCTACGCTCCCTGAGTGTAGACAACCGCACCCCCACCCCCACTCCGAGTTTTCCCTCCCAACACTGGTGAAAAGTGCAACCTCTCTACCCCTCACCCCCCATTTTGTAATCCAGGCGAGCCTCGAATCTGTAGCAATCTCCCTGTCTCAGGCTCCTGAGCGCTAGGATTCCACCAGCTTTCTTGATTATGTCGCCCCCGTGCTGGGGACTTACAATACCTTCCCTCCAGATGATTCTAGAATCCATTTGGTAGGAAATGGTGAAATTAGAGGATTCCAGGGGTCAGGCCAGATCTACATGACCCTGAGGTCCAGGAAAAGGAAAGAGGTGAACTCTTTCTCCCTGAGCCTTCATCTTGATCTGTGATAATTTTCAAAACTAGCTGGGACAGGAAGTAGGGTCCCCCCACAGGACACCCACAGATGGACAGATAAAGACTTCGGGACTCTGTCCAACATGGAAAAGTGGGGTGCTAGCATGCACCTGACCTATGTGTCCTTACTGGTGGCCCCTTGAACCCTAATACCCACTTACAACAGGACCCATACCAAGACGAATGCGGTGGCCCGCTTGCCTGTAATGTGAGTGCTCAGGAGACTGAGATAGGAGGAACACAGACCTCCTATCTCAGACCCTAGGCTTGGCTGACTTGGTAGAGTGCTGCCTAGCACACAAGAAGCCCCAGGTTCCCTCCCCAGTGCTACGTAAACTGGGTGTTCTGGCACACACCTGGAATCCCAGGGCTCCGGAAGTGGAGGCAGGAAGTTCAGAAAGTCAAGGTCATCCTGGGCTACTTGGCCAAGTTTGAGGCCAGCCTGGGCTACGTGAGACCAGAAGGACTTGGGCTACACCTACCTTTGGCCCATGACCTGGTACGTTACTAATTAGATTACTCCATCTCTGAGGCCTGGAGGCTACCCGGTCTCATTTTACCCACAGGCTCCATACTTCCCACAGCGTTTGCATGTTGACGTCTGGTGGGTGTCGGTAAGACACAAAGTGGAAGAAAGAAGGCTTTCCCCTGGTATCCAGTGCCTCCCACAAGCCGCAGCCTACCAAACACCCAGGTGAGTGTGGACACCAGGAAAGAGTAGGGGAGGGGCCAGGATGAAGTGTGTTTGTGTGTGTGTGTGGCGGGGAGACAGGACCAAGCTAGGGGTGTGGCCTCTGACCTCTGACCTCTGCTCCTCCCCTTATAGCATGAACTCCAAAATCTCCTCCCCAACCCTGCTGGAAGCTCTGAGCAGCGATTTCCTAGCCTGTAAAATCTGCTTGGAGCAACTCCACACACCCAAGACTCTCCCATGCCTACATACCTATTGCCAGGACTGTCTGGCCCAACTGGACATCGGTGGCCAGGTCCGCTGCCCCGAGTGTCGGGAGATTGTACCTATACCCCCCGAAGGTGTGGCCGCCTTTAAGACCAACTTCTTTGTCAACGGGCTCTTGGATCTCGTCAAGGCCAGAGCTCCTGGAGACATCCATTCAGGGAAGCCAACCTGCGCTCTGTGCCCTCTGGTGGGAGGCAAGAGCTCCGGGGGACCCGCCACAGCCAGGTGCTTGGACTGTGCGGATGATTTATGCCAGGCCTGTGCCGATGGGCACCGCTGCTCCCGCCAGACCCATAAACACCGTGTCGTTGACTTGGTGGGTTACAGAGCCGGGTGGTACGACGAAGAGGCTCGCGAGCGCCAGGCATCCCAGTGTCCCCAGCACCCAGGGGAAGCCCTCTGCTTCCTCTGTCAGCCTTGTTCTCAGTTGCTCTGCAAGGATTGCCGCCTGGGTCCCCATATTGATCACCCCTGCTTGCCCCTGGCGGAAGCCGTGCGTTCCAGGAAGCCAGGTCTTGAGGAGTTATTGGCAGGTGTGGACAGCAATCTGGTGGAGCTAGAGGCCACTCGGGTGGCGGAGAAGGAAGCCCTGGCCTTGCTTCGGGAGCAGGCAGCCAGTGTGGGGACGCAGGTGGAGGAGGCAGCTGAACGAATCCTCAAGTCCCTGCTAGCCCAGAAGCAGGAAGTGTTGGGACAACTCCGGGCCCTCGTGGAGGCTGCCGAGGAGGCTACCAGGGAGAGGCTGACCAAGATAGAGGGCCAAGAGCAGGTGGCCAAGGCCGCTGCTGCCTTCGCCCGTCGAGTGCTCAGCCTGGGGCTAGAGGCCGAGATCCTTTCGCTGGAGGGAGCAATCACACAGCGCCTGCGCCAGCTTCAAGACTCTCCCTGGACGTTGGGGCCCACCCGCTGTGTGCTGCCCCATCTGGAGCTCCATCCTGGGCTGGAGGACAAGAACTGCCACCTGCTCCGACTCTCCTTTGAGGAGCCAAAACAGTCCCAGAAGGACAATGGGAAGGGTGGAGCCGGTGCCCAAGGAGGTGCCCAAGGAGGAGCCGAAGCTGAAGGCCAAGGGGAAGATAGAAGCAAGATCACGAAGCAGGGTGGAGCCCAGCCCCTGACTCCCAAAGAGGGCAAAGTCCAGAGCCCCCAAGAAGATGACGAGGTAGTCGTTGAAAGGGGTAACAGGCCTAACAAGAAGAAAAAGTGCAAAGGCAGGGGCAAGTCCGTGTCTCGGGAGCCCAGCCCCATCCTGAGGCCAAACCTAGAAGGTTCAGGCCCCCTCCCTCGGCCTGTTTTTTCCTGGAGTTTCCCCACCAGGATGCCTGGGGACAAGCGCTCCCCGCGTATCACAGGGCTCTGTCCCTACGGCCCCCAGGAGATCTTGGTGGCAGATGAGCAGAACAGGGTGTTGAAACGCTTCTCCCTCAATGGGGACTACAAGGGCACAGTGCCGGTCCCCGAGGGCTGTTCCCCCTGCAGCGTGGCTGCCCTGCAGAATGCAGTGGCTTTCTCTGCCAATGCAAGGCTCTACCTTGTCAGTCCTGAGGGGGAAGTTCAATGGCGCAGGTCCCTGAGCCTCACGCAGTCCAGCCACGCTGTGGCCGCAATGCCATGTGGAGACCGGGTGGCTGTCAGCGTGGCAGGCCACGTAGAGGTATACAAGAAAGAAGGCAACCTGGCTACCCGGTTTATCCCTGGAGGCAAGGCTAGTCGGGGCCAGCGGGCCCTGGTGTTCCTGACCACCAGCCCCCAGGGCAATTTTGTAGGGTCAGATTGGCAGCAGAACAGTGTGGTTTTCTGTGATGGGCTGGGTCAGGTGATCTGGGAATACAAGGGTCCTGGGTTACATGGCTGCCAGCCAGGGTCTGTGTCTGTGGATAAGAAGGGCTACATATTTCTGACCCTTCGAGAGGTGAACAAGGTGGTGATCCTAGATCCCAAGGGCTCGCTTCTTGGTGACTTCCTAACCGCATACCACGGCCTGGAAAAGCCCCGGGTAACCACCATGGTAGATGGCAAATACTTAGTGGTGTCACTTAGTAATGGGACCATCCATGTCTTTAGGGTCAGGTTTCCTGACAGTTAAAGGGGCTTTTGGCGGGGATGGGGGGCAGGAGGGAGGGAGGGAGGAAGGAAGGGAGGGAAGGAGGGCGGGAGCATAATAGAAGCAGAACCCCCGTAGGATGAGGTGCCCAAGGGCGCTTTCCCAGCCAGCGAAATGCTTGCTCCTTTGGTGATGTACAGGGATGGAAGATACTAAGCCGTGTTGGCCAGACCACAGCAGGTGCCAGCAGTCAACCAAACCGCTTGCTTTTGATGATTCCTGCAGCTGTGGCTGCTGCTGTAGTTTAGATGTCTTGAGATTTAGAAGCCTGATTCTTGATTTGTATTCTTCATAAACCATTCCTGGGATGGGGTCATGACTTGCCTACAACGAAAGGCTCAATAGTAGAGTGCTGCCTAGGTTCTGCCAGAGAGGAGTTAGGGCATGGCTTGCTATAGAGGGCCTGTCTAGAATCCACCAATGAGGGTGGGGCGTGGCTCAGTGGTAGAGCCCCTGCCTAGAATCCCCTAGTGAGGGGCTGGGGTGTGGCTCAGTGGTAGAGCCCCTGCCTAGAATCCCCTAGTGAGGGGTTGGGGTTGTGGCTCAGTGGTAGAGCCCCTGCCTAGAATCCCCTAGTGAGGGGCTGGGGGTGTGGCTCAGTGGTAAAGCCCCTGCCTAGAATCCCCCAGTGAGGGGCTGGGGGCGTGGCTTGGTCTTAGAAGACTTGTCTAGTCTGCAGGAAGTCCTGAGGTCAATTCCCAAGCACATCTTGCTTCCAAAAAAAAAAAACCTTGGAGCAGGTGAAAGAGTCCTAGGGAGATGACATAAGTCATCCTCCAAGCAAAGGAATACCCAGTACATGTCAAGATATGTTAGGCATGCTGGAAAGAGGGTGAGAACTGGCCATTCTCACAGGTGAACATGGGGTCAGAAGAGGCCAGAGATCTCAGAACAGTAATGATACTGACATGTTCTGCCAACCCATCAGGGAATAGAAACTCCTTCAGTGAAGTACGAGGTGGGTTTCAAGAGGTCAGGGGTCAGGGAGTCCAGGCACAAGCAGAGGCCATAGGTGTGAGATTAAATCCAGATGCAACACACTTGCACACACACACACCTGTTATCCCAGCACTTGAGAAGCTGAGGGAAGAGGATCATACATTTGAACCTAGCCTGGGCTACATGCAGAGACTCAAAAAATCTGGTTTTTCTCGCAACTCTCGAGCACCAGTTTGTCCCACAGAAGTTCCGTCTCTGGCTGCATGTTCTAGTGGATCAGCAAAGATGCCCACCCTAAGAGGGAGCCTCACTCCCAGATGGTAGCCGAGCAGTGTTGACATCAACACTCGTGAGTCCTGTCCAGAGAGGAGGGGTACCTCGGCAGAGGCTGTGATTCTGTGACTGTCCTTCACCAAGTACATGGACCACACCATCCTGCCCTTCACTGCCCACCAACCAGACATCTCCTAAGTTCTCAGAAGGCATTGAAGCCCTCAGAAACCATGAAAAGATCTGTCCGGTACTGAATAAGACTTGTCGGCCGCAGACACAGCAGGTGATGGGGGAGGGGGCGCTTATGGTTGCTGGTGAAACCCATCGACACCCCCAGGGCGTCAAAGTCTACATCAACTGGTTCTAGTCGGACGACCAGAAGTTCTTGGAGACAGAAGAGCAGAACCTTTTCAAAGATACCAGTCTGCCCTGAAAATTGCCCCCTCAGGAAGCTTAGTGACCCGAGGCATAGCCAGGCTGGCCGGGGTCCCCTCACACAGGAGATGTCCAGTGTCTGTAGGAGACAAAGCAAGAAGAGTTGGTGAACAGGATATGACGGAGTATGGTGAAGGAACATCAGATCCTTCCTGGTGACTTCCTGGGCCCGCGGGAAACACGGGGACTCTTATAGCCCTAGGATAATAGTCTCGGACCCTGAAGTCCCAGACGCTGAACGTTGTGAACAATGTACTGGCCAGTGACATCACCTGGCTGTTGTAAGGGTGGAGATCTCGATGACACTGTTTGGGCGTGACTGCGGTGAGGGCGTGGACGATGTTGAGTGGGTGCTTGGCAAGGACAAGTCCACAAGATCTTAACACACTCCAGCCCCTTCCCCACCATCAACGGCAAGATCACAGGTGCGGACATCAAGAGAGATGGCGAATTCCAGCTTGCCTACCACGCCGCTGGCCGGTAACCACTTAATTCAGGTAAAGCTGGAGGACTGTGAGCCACCCACTGACCTGCCCCCACACCCCACCCCACCTTCTAAGCAGAGGCACACGTGATTCCCCAACCTGAGCCGCTGGCTCTTCCCACCTTCTCTGCACCTGCCCAGGTGGGCGGGGCCTGGGAGGCGGAGATTAGGGAGGTCCAGTGTCTGCATTATTTCAAGGTCCATAAAGACTTAGATGATGTGACATTTAAGCAGGGCGGTGGTGGCGCACGCCTTTAATCCCAGCACTTGGGAGGCAGAGGCAGGCAGATTTCTGAGTTCGAGGCCAGCCTGGTCAACAGAGTGAGTTCCAGGACAGCCAGGGCTACGCAGAGAATCCCTGTCTCAAAAAAACAAAAACAAAAAAAACCCATAAAGACTTAGCCATGTTTCCGTAGCTCTAGAATAAGAGAAACACCATTATGGGCCCAGCAGGGAGGCAGAAGTGATGCTTGGATGCAGCGTGGTGGGATTTATTACGCAAGAAGCGGGTGTCTGTAATAGATAAGCTTAGAAGCAAAACACAAAACCACTGAACTGACAGTTTAGCCAATCTGAAGTTAAATAGGATTTAACTTTTAAATAGGATGTGACATTTAAGCAGGATATGAAATCTCTATAATGCTTTTATGCTTTTTATATGTTTTCTAGGATCTTGTTTATTTATGCCTTTTTTTTTTAACTGTCTTGGCAAAATCTCTTTTTCGGAAATGTTAGCCTTTATGTGAATGAAGTGACGTGATTTCTGTGACGGGAGGCGTCGGGGGAGGCACTGAAGCCAAAAGGCCAGCATGGGATGGGGTGCCAAGCAGAATTTGGGAAATCAGCAATGGGGGACCCAAGATAAGAGGAGGCATAAAACTCTGGAGATAGGGTTGGAGGTGAGCCGCAGTCACCTCGGTGCTTTTAATCTGTGGTGGCGTCTTTGGATGGAAGACGTTACAGGTGACTGTGGAGCGCGTGTTTAGCCAGAGGGCTGTGGAGAAATGAGACTGAGGGAGACATTAAGGTAGGGATTGTGATGACAGTGTGGGGGATCCAGGGACCTTTGGGACAAAGCCCACGTGGAAGGTTAGGGATAGAGAAGAGACGTCTAGACAAAATGTTTCATTTGTAGTGTAGGGAATCACCGATGTCCAGATGGGCAACTTCAATTACATATAAATTGTAAAGGCTAGATACGGAGGTTCAAGCCTGGTGTAATCCCCAGGACTCAGGAGGCAGGAGCAGAATTGTGAGTTCGAGGCCAGCCTAGGCTCCATAGTGAGACCCTCCAAAACAAAAAGCAAGAGGGGCTATGGCTCTCAGTTGGTAGAGTCTAGCATACCCAATCCCTGGGTTTGATCCCCGGCACTGAATAAAAACAGGTATAGCACATGCCTGCAGTCCTGGCAATCACGTGAAGGTAGGCGACTCGGAAGCTCATGGTTATCCTTGGCTACATGGCAAATTCAAAACCAGCTTAGGCTACACAAGACCTTGGCTCTAAAAAGGTGCTCTTAAAAAAAAAAAGCAAACAAAAAATCCAAAATAAGTAAGTAAATATAAAAATATATATACAGCAAGTCATAAGGGGAGACATGCGGTCAGCAAGATCACAAACAACAGAGAATTTTGATTTAATAAGGAAAAGCTGATACTAGCATATCGGTTAAAAAAAGACGCCTATCTGGACAAAGAGCAAAATAGTTTATGCACCCAGGGGAAGTATCTACGAGCAAAGACTTATAAAATGAAAAAGAATCTACCAAATAAAACCGCTGGCATATGCCAAAGGTAAAAGCTACAAATGTGCTCTGAAGAAACATGTAGATTCCTGGAACTACCAAATAATGCCTCCCGGAGAGTCTTTTGGCAATATTTGCCACAGGAGGCTTTTTTTCTGGAATGATTGTAAAACTATGTTAATCTCAGGCTGCCTAGAATCCAACAGGGGCTGAGGGTTAGAGGGCTTGCCTAGAATTCCCCAGTAAATGGCTAAGTGGTAGAGCACTTACTTGATATTTGTTTCGTCTCTAGCACTGGGGGAGTGGGGAATGTTATCCCTCTTTGGGGAATACATTCTGGGAAAAATAATTCAGTAGCAGAAAAATATTTACAGAGAGGCCTTTACAGCTGCTTCATTAACTGGAAACCTCTCTGAGGTGAGCCAATGGCTGAATAGATTGTGGTCTGTTAGAAGAATGAACTTCTGTGAACAACTATGAAAAGTATTTGGAAGACATAGTATGTGATGTAGTCATAAGAGGAGGGAAAAGAGAGCTGGGGAGATAGCTCAATGGGTAAGGACACTTGCTATCCATTCAAGGACCTGAGTTCAAATCCCCAGCACCCATATAAAAAGCCAGGTGTGGCCACGTGTACCAGAGCTATAAGGGTGGGGGGCAGAGTCTGAGACCTGTTTACTGCCAGGCTTGCAAGCTCAGCGAGAGACCCTGTCTCCAATAGGAGAGTAACAGCAAAGGACTCTTGGCATCCTCCAGACCTTGTGCGCGCATGCGTGCACAGGGAGAGAGGGCTTGGTTGGCTGGGAGGATTCTGATTGCGTAATGTCAGCGACCGGTGGGACTGTGTCCAAATAGCTGCCCGGAAGACAATGGATTCCTAGTCTGTAAATAGTCAGTGATTTATTTCGGAGTGTACATCTTTTTGAGTTATTTTGGGCTGGTACTCACATCTGTACATTTCTATTTCAGTTACTATTATATGCTTGAATACTTCAAGAAAAAATATACTTCTATAAATAATATTTAAGAATAATTGACTAGCCGGCCAGATGTGGTAGTGCACACTGGTAACTCTAGCACATAGGGTGAGGCAGGAGGATTGCTAGCTTGAGACCGG